CCTGTCCAGCGTCATCCTCATGTCGGAAGGCGACCTCCAGGTACGGCACAGGACTCCCCGTCTGCGCCCAGGTTTTCCTTCATGTGTTGCCATTAACAAGGGTATGTTGATTGCTAGGGGTTTCCAGGATTTCTCTTCTAAGTCCACATGATTTCCTACCTTCCTGAATGCTTTTTTTGGCTGCTGGTAAAGAGTGGTGGTTGGTGGAGCACCACTACAGCCCCTCGTACCCAGACCAGCTTGCTGTGACATGAAGGAAACCTGCCCCTTCCATGAGGCAGAGGCTCTGTGTCACTCAGAGCTTGCTGTCCATATCATAGTCAGTGTGACTAAGCCCGGCAACAGGAGCCCTCATGTTGTTTTTTAAGGTGCTTATTGATGTACCACCTTCGGACCTGGCAGAGGAACTTGAACAAAGTCAAACTCAAGTCCAAGCTTTGCAGGACACCCTGCAGCAGGTGCTGGACCGGCGAGAAGAAGAACGCCAGTCGAGGCAGCTCCTGGAACTCTACCTACAGGCCTTGAAAAAGGAGGAGAGTATCCTCAGCAAAGTAGCAGGTGAGGGAGCAGGAAGCTGCTGGAGAAGGAGCTTGTCAGGAAGACTGAATTAGTTGAGCTGAATAAAAAAGGGGTGGGGAAGGGCATCTATTCATGCTGATGTACTGGCTGACGAGCATTATTCTCTCTCTGGGTACTTTCTTTAGGAGTACTTTCACTGCAGTGTCCCACTTAGCTAAAAAGACCAGGGAAAAGCTTAACTTATGTAGTAAACTTTACTATTTTGGGTTTCCAAAGCTTTGGAGGCTGCATTTGAACACTCACACATCTTGGTAATCTCAAAAATAAACATGGGACAGAAGAGTTGCCTGAACTGCTTTATTTCACAGGCTGTGACTCTGCTACTTTTTAGAATCTGAGACTGAACCAAGAAAGGAGATGGATGTGGTTGACACAGGTACCAGCAGTACAGGCGTTTTGGCCAAAACGGCACTCAGTGACCAGACCCTTGCTGCCCTGAAAGGGAAACCTGCCCCAGAACTCTGCTTGGACAGTCAAGACCTAGAGGTGGGTGAGAAACCACCACCTTCTGGCACTCCTTCCAGAGAGAGGTTATGAGGGAAGTTGTCCTTGCCTCTGGAAGCTCTGCTACCTACTCTTGATATCTCAAAATGATGAGATCTAGTTTGTTTCTGTATTTCAGTAATCCCTTTCCCCTGCTTGAAGCATCCTCCCTCTGTAACATGCTGCTGACACTCTGCCAAGTACTCATATTCATCCCCTGAAAAGCTACAAGAATCTTGATCTTTGCCACATCTTCAGCTGTCTCATCATTTCCAAATCAAAGACTGCCAAAGTCAGTATAAATGAATCCATAATTTAGAAAGGAAAAAGTCTTCTTAAGTTTTAACCATTAAAAGTGGTATTTTTCTTTTTTCCCCTGTTGCTGTGATCTTGCTACTGTAGCTTTTCTGTGTTACTGAAACTGAGTAACTGTTTTCTGTTCATTTGTTGTACATCCGAATATGTCTTCAAGCTTTAACTGGCTTTAAATGTTGGTAACATCTATTTATAAAAACAAACAAAACACTGTAGCCCAAATAATAGAAAATGTGAGCCAGGATGTCATTCTAAGCCACTATTAAATAGATATCTCATTACTTCTCTTAATGTCAATAGAGGGGTTAGTGGTGGAGGAGGATCAGTAGAAGATTAAAAATCTGTCTCATTACAGCTGGTTGTCAAGGAAGACACAGAAGCCCTGGCCTCGTCGCTAAGCTGGGACAAGCAGAAAGCTGAAGCTCTGCAGCAAGCCTGTGATCAGGAGCTCTCTAAGCGGCTACAACAAGTGCAGACTCTGCATTCCCTTAGGAGTGTATCAAAGGGCAAGAAAACACTCCCTTGGGGAGACTGGCCTAGTTCAAAACGCAAAAAATAGGCTGTGCAGCCCTGCTTCGAGTGTCGAGGAAATAAAAGTCCCTCTGGCATTAGGACCAACACAAGCAAGTTATGTCCTGGGAACCACAGTTTGCTGGTCATACTGTAGTCTGGCTGTAGACAACTAAAATCTGGACATTGTCCTGAGGCTTAAACTCCTATGATGACTCAAATCATGTGTAACCAAAGGGATTCTAACTTTTTTGCAGAATACTAGAACAATGGTATTGCTAAGCATAGCAAGCAAAAGTTCAGCTCTGAATACGTGGTTGTGAGCCAGAAACTTCCCTCTGATAATGCTGGATCTATCTGCCGAAGCCTCAGGCAATTTGCCAACCTTGTCTTCCTTTACAATGAAATGATGGGGAAATATTTACCTCAGAGGGACAGTGAGGCACAGTTAATTAGGAAGAAGGCATCTTGAGGATTCCTTTGTGAACACACACCACTCATTTTTTAGCAAGGCCTATGACTGGCTGTACTTAAACTCCCAGTGGGTGGGGGTGGTGGGGTGGTTGTTGTGGTTGTTTGGTGGTTTTTTTTTTTTTTTTTGGCCAGTTGCTGTCTAGCTCTGAGCTCCAACCTGGAATCGAGGAAGTTGAATTTTTATGCTAATTTCATCAGTGAAAGTAAAATTGAAACCTTCAACTTCTTTGCTGTTTCTGCAAGGTACCCCTGCTTCTTTGGTATAGTACAAGCACTAATAAATCTAAAATAGAGCAACAGTGGAAGTGCTTGTTTTGAAGGGCTTGGGCATAAGTCTCCTCTTAGGCCTATCTGTATTCCTGTCTTAATCATTGACACAGTGATCATGATGCTTCTTGTACTAACGGGCTTTTAGAATTGAAGTGGCTTTTCTAATGTCATTAAAAGAGTTTTACCATATTGTTGGACTAGTCTTGATATTCTCACAGCTACTATGGTTAAAGAATATGGTGATAAGTACAAGATTACAAGGAAAGAAGGAGAAGTTGTATTTTACTCATGTTTGCTTAAATAGAAGTACTCTGCCTTTAACCTTTCCAAAGATATTATTTAGGTATGGCACATGTTCATATTGGTGATGCTATACCAGAGCTCTCACTTAACTCCCAAACCCCCCAGATCCCTCTTCCTGCAAGAACAGAATATGTATACGGAATAATCTGAAGGGTGAGCTTAAAAAAAAAAAAGTCAAGAGTTTTACCATGTGCTAATGTTTCTCCTGGCTTTACCTAAGCTCCACTGATTCATCATAACCTTAAATGCTGCAGAATGCCCATCAGTGTGTCCTTCTG